CGGTCATTAGTGTCTTCATGGGCACCACTCCTTCCGAACTCGTCGAAACCTACCACAACTACCCGTCTGCCAACGCCATTTGGCTCTACCTCGAAGATCAATTCCAAACAAGACTGCAGTGGGAGTTGCTATACTTATCCCCAGCATGTTCCAAGTGCGGCTCGAGGACTCGCCAGGCATGGCGGACTATGTCACCAAGGTGCAGTCCATTCATGGTGAACTCAAACAGTTGGGAATAGTCTTCCCCGAGCAAGCCCCTGCAGCCGCTCTCCTAGTTGGCCTCACTCCGGCATACGAAATCACACGCAAGATGCTCTTGGGCCTTGCTCCTGCAGACCTCACATTTGCCAAGATCTCATCCGCGCTCCTTTCTGCCGAAAAGGACAACAGCGTTCAAGCCAAGGCCAATGCAATCCGCGCTCCCGTGCCTCAAGCCTATGCCGCTTCGGTGCCATTCCAGTGCAACCGCTTCCCCCCGTGTCCCTACGTCATCAAGCGCGGCCCTCGTGCTGGCCAGGTGTGTAGCGGCACCAACCACGGCCTTGCCTCCTGCTTTAAGAAGAAGGATGACGAGTGGTATGCCGTCAATGGGACCGCCTCCAAGTCGCCAAGCTGGATGGTCAATCGTGCTCCTCGCCAAGTCAATCAAGTCGAAGCGCAGGAATCCGTGCAGGCTGCTCTGGCTGCACCTGCTGATGTGCGCCTCAACATATTGTTCCCTGGCACTGCCATGATTAATGAGACGATTTCGCAGTATCCTGGCTCACAAAGCACCTCAGCCACAATAGAGTTCACCCTCGACAGTGGGGCCACTCACACGGTTCTCAAGGAAGAACACTCCTTCAAGCCATACGATACACCAATCCGTCTACTTGGAGAAGACTCCAGTTTCACAACACACGCCAAGGGCTCCTCCACAGTTCCGTGCCCAGCTTTTTCTTCGGGCAGTATGAGTGGCATGTGTGTTCCCACACTACGCCACAATCTCGTGGCCCAACACGAGCTCCAACGGGCAGGCGTCACCACGATCTTCCCAGCACACTCGGATCACTGTGACCTCTTTGACCCTAAGTCCAACAAGCTCCTAGCACGCTTCACACTCAACAGTAGCAAGCTCTACACGCTGCGTTCACCTGCACCTCTCGCCGCCCTCTCCCAAGCGCAAGCTGCCAGCACCACTCCGTGTTTGTGTCGCAGCTTCGCCAACCGAACCATCCTCTACCACCATCGCTTGGGTCACCCCAACTTCCGTACACTTGCCGACATCGCTTCCAAGAAACTTCTTCTTGGCCTCTCGTTTGCGCTTCCTCCACCAACAGACTCGTCTGCACCCACCTGCCTGGACTGCACCAAGAGCAAGCTCAGGCAGCAGCCGCACCCTTCCTCCCCATCCGTCGCAGCTGCTCCGCTGGACCTAGTGCACATGGATGTCTGGGGCCCAGCTCCAGTCGCATTCCGAGGCGGTCATCGGTACTTTCTTACACTAGTCGATGACCACTCGCGGTATGTTTCTGTGCACCTCCTACATACCAAGACGGAGGCACCTGATGTCATCATGGCGTGGGTGCGCCAGGCTCAAGTCACGTTCGGCACTCCTCTGAAGTGCCTCCATTCTGATGGCGGGGGAGAATTTCGCAATGGCAAACTCGATAACTTCTGTGCGGCCCAAGGGATTCGGCAAACCTTCACGCTCCCCGAAAGCCCGCAGCAGAACGGCATTGCACAGAGCCGCAACCACACCTTGGTTCAGATCGCTCGCTGCCTCCTCAGTCAAGCCAACGCACCACAGTCACTCTGGGGATATGCCCTCTTCCATGCGGCACTCCTCTACAATCTTTATCCGCATCCCCACCGGCCCGACACCACACCTACCGCTCTCTGGCTTGGGGTCACGCCTTCCGCCCGCTCTCTACGCGTCTGGGGGTGTACTGCGTATGTGTTGCTAAGCCCCCACACGCGCAGGAAGCAAGGTGGCAAGCTTGGTCCCAAAACCCAGACCTGCATGTACCTGGGGCACAACTCCGACTCCCCAGACTACTTATTCCTCAACCCAATCACCAGACAGCTGATTCGCAGCCTTGATGTCGTCTTCGATGAGACACGCCCATTCCACTCTGCGACCACGGGTGAGCCTCCTCCACCTCCCCCGACGCTTGTTTGGGCAGACTTCGCTGCCCCTTCTCCAGGACCTTCTCCGTCCGGCGTGTCTCACCCGGCCTCCCCAGTATCCTCCGCAGCAGCACCTCCTCCTGCTCCGCATTCCCCGCGCGTCAAGCCTGGCTCACCAGTCTCCTATCGTAGGCGCCCAGTCCCTCCGGTCCCACCGCAGCCGCCTTCGTCTCCGGTCTCTAGTCGCACTCATTCCAAGGGACCGGCTCCGCCTCTCGCCTGGGGACCAGCCGCCTTCTCCATCCGGTGTTCGGTCACCCCACCTCCTCCTGCCAAGGGTGATGTCCCCTCCATCCGTATTCCCCCCCGTGCACTTCTGGAGGACAGGCATGACGAGTTTTTTGACCTTCACGCGGTCTGCCAATTTCTCTCTCACATCTTCCCGCACATTACTGACTGCCCTTCCCTCAACTTCACCGAGAACCCGACCATTCCGACTCGCACAAAAGAGGAAGCTCTCTCGGGCCCTTATAGGAAGGAGTGCAAGGCAGCAATGGATGTGGAGAACGAGGCGTTCATTCGCAACAACAGCTTTGACGATGTTGTTCCCCCTTCCGGTGTCAACATCGTCGGCGGAAAATGGATCTTCCGAGTCAAACAACTCCCAGGTGAAGCTCCTGTTGGTGCATATTCGTTTGCACGTCATCCTGTCGTCTGTTCGCATCATTTCGTTGCATGTGTTTTGTGTGCTACATTGTTTGTATGGTTTGTTGGGTTTGCATGTCTTTGCATGTTCATCTTGTGCTTGTGCAGATGGGTTTGGATTGTGCATGACATCGAGCACATTCCAACGAGCCAAGAATTGTTGGAATCGGAGCACATATGAAGAAGTTACGAAGAAATGTTTGATGGATTTGTTACAACTGTTGTGTGATGTCATCATATGCTATCACATTCTGTCTGCCTCCCATCCCATATTTTTTCAACTTGCATGTGTGGTTTGAACGTGTGCAAGAATTTGTGTGTGATGTGTTCTGGAGTTTGGGAATGTGTTTTGTGTTATTTTGTTTGAGCAGGTTTTTTGTGATGATAGATCTTGAGAAGATCTTTCCGACGCAACGAGAATCCCTTCAATCGGAGCAAGAACGCGAAAGCTATGAAGATTCAAAGTTCATGAGCTTGCGTTACAATTGCGGCGGTTACAAAGTGAAGTTGTGGGGTGACTCTATATGGAGTTGGGACCTTTGGGGGTTTGGGAAATTTGTCACTCACTGTAACAGCTGCAAATTGGTTGGGAACAACCAAGCTAGGTTGGCAAGGGTGGCCAACTTGGATGGATTGGTTGGGAAGGGACAAATGTCAAAGTTGGGGTTCCTATAGGGAGGGAATCTTTGTGCTTATGGGGTTTCCTTGGTTGGGGACTCTCTTGGGACCTTCCCTCTCATCCCTCTCTTCCTATCCCAACCTTTCTCTTGCTCCTTCTAATTCCTTGTGAGATTCTTGAACTTTGATTGAACCTTTGAGATTGAGTTAAGTTCTCCTCCTACAGCTTACCCCCTAGTGCGTCGAAAGCCATAGCGTCGCGAATACTTTATCAATCAACATGATTCAAATTGGGAACGGTAGCTGAGATTAAGAGCTACAACATATCCAAGTTTCGCGACATTCCAACGGCTAGTTGTTTGTCGACGTCGTTTCTTGTGAAGACGACTTTTCTGTCCAGAATTTCGGATTTATATTTTGAGTAATTCTAGCTCCTAAGTTCACCTAGACTCCGTCCTTAATCCTAACAAGTGGTATCAGAGCCATATTAAGGACATTGAGAGGAGTCTACAGAAGTGTGAAGACCCTTCTAGACCCACCATGGCCTGTGGGTGTGCCTAAGTGGTGTTCTAAAGGTTGGATGTGTCTTCCGCTAAGGGGAAACTCTGCCGAAATTTCGTGGACGCCGATACTTGTGAAAATATCGAGGGAGCTGAGTGTGGACAGCAAAGGGGAGCTGAAATTCGTCATTTCTCAAGGAGAAGATGAATGAGAGAGGAGGAGATGCTAATGGAAGAGGAGCTGTAGCTGAGAAGACAAGTGAGCCGCCGCCATCAAAAGTTGAAGCTTTGGATGGCTCCAACTATGAGGAATGGAGCGGACGGATGAGGAGTGCCTTCAAACGCTACAAGCTACTGAAGATTGCTGTTGGGGAAGAGAAGATGCCGGAAGAAGGCGAAGCACGCGAACGGTGGATTGAGAAAAGCGCGGTGCTTTTCGACCTCATCCTTCAATCGGTCAACAAGGAGATGTTCGAGCACATCAAGGATCTTGTGGAAGCGGATGATTCGGGTCCAAGGGCGTGGAAACTACTACGTGATGTGATTCAGCCCAACACTCTCCCAATGGTGATCGTGCTCGAGAAGGAACTTGCTGCCATCTCCATGCGACCAGGGGACGATGTGAAGCCGGTCCTTGACAAGATCAAGGACACCTATGCAAGGATGGCAGCAGCGGGCAGTAGTGTATCTCAGCTGCAGCAGTGCACCAAGATCATCTCGGTGTTGGACAACTCTTGGGACAACCTCATCCCCACCCTCAACTCTCAGCAAGATCAATGGACACCTGAGTGGCTAAGGCAGCAGATTCTGCAGGAGGACTTCCGCAGACGCCATGTGGGAGGCGGTGCTGCCACTAAGACTGCTGAGGGGTATGGAGCTGCAGGGCGCGGCAGAGGAAGAGGGGGTTGGAGAGGCCGAGGCCGTGGGAGAAGCTTTGGCAGAGGTAGAGGCCGAGGTGACTATAATGAGGGGCATGGGAGCTCCAGTGGCAGGGGGAGTACCAGAATGGAGGGCACCTGCTGGTACTGCAAGAAGGTCGGGCATCCTTGGTTCAAGTGCTTCAGCAGGCCGGAGGGATGGGCACCTCCAGGCATGAAGCCGCCCAGTGGTGAACGCGCACAAGGTGGTGCTGTGCAAGGCTCAGGTGCACAAGGTGAAGGTGCACAAGGTAATGCCTATCCTGGGATGTTTCTTATGGTTGAGGATGTGCATGGGCATGAGGGTGATGTGGGATCTGTGGGAAAGGTTGTGATGCACCCTCTCACGCACTGGGTGATTGATTCAGGTTGCACCAGTCACATGACCCCACGGGCAGATTTGCTTGATGAGGTAAAACCCCCTGGGAAGATCAAGTATGTGGCAGCAGCGTCAGGTGCTTTGCTCCCCGTGATTGGTGTTGGGAATGCCAAGGTTAAGGGAGCTAATGGGGAGCTTGTGGGGCTTGGGAATGTTCTGCTGGTTAAAGGCTTGTCTGCTAACCTTCTCTCTGTGCGGCGACTGCAGAAGAGTAAGGCCGAAGTGACCTTTGGACCAACCAGCTGCCGTGCTAAGCTTGGGAAGAAGGTGCTGTGGAGTCTGGAAGAGGAGACCAGCTGCATCAAGGACCTGTGGCAGCTGCCCATCATCCCATGGAATGGGAAGACTCCAACAGCAGCAACGGCAGCAGCGGCAAAGGCAACAGCAGGAGGAGATGCAACTGCACCAACTGATGGGGTCCTGGAAGCAGTCAAGAAAGTGCAGCAGCAGCAGACACATGGTGAGGTGCTTGCTGGTGTGGATGCGAGTGCGGCATGGGCTAAGGCTTCATCAAGGAGTGGAGAGGCCGATTGGGAGACATGGCATGAGAGGCTGTGTCATGTGAACTTCCCTATGCTGCAGAAGTTGGTGAAGGATGGGAGCCTGAAGGGCTTGGAGGTGAAAGGGGGAGTGAAGGAGATTGGGAGCTGCCCTACATGCTTGGAGACCAAGTTCTCCAAGTTCCCCTTCAACAGCACTACAGGACCAGCCAAGACCCCACTTGCACTTGTGCACATGGATGTGGTGGGGCCCACAAGAGCCCCTTCCCTCTCAGGCAGCCGCTATTTCTTGACAATTGTGGATGACCACACTCGGGCAGTGTGGGTTTACCCTTTGAAGAGCAAGGGGGAGGTGGCAGCGGCTGTCCTTAAGGAGTGGATGCCTAGAGCTCAGAGGGAATGCGGACACAAGGTGAAGGTGATCCGCAGTGACAATGGTGGGGAGTTCATTGGAGCTGATTTTGAGGGGGAGTTGAAGAGGAAGGGGATCCAGCATCAACTGACAGTGCCCTACAACCCGCAGCAGAATGGCGTGGCTGAGAGGTTCAACAGGACCCTGCAGGAGGGGGCACGCACTCTCCTTGGGCGTGCAGGGCTGCCTGATCCGTTTTGGGTGTCTGCACTGAGGCAGGTCGCCCTTGTGAAGAATAGGGTGCTGGCTACAGTTGGAGATAAGGAGTGGATCCCATATGCCAAGTGGTATGGGAGTGCTCCAGCGGTGAACATGCTGAGGGCATTTGGGTGCATGGTGGTGTTTCATGTGCCCAAGGAGAAAAGGGGGAAGTTGGAGGCTTCTGGAAGATGGGGTGTGCACTTGGGGATTGCAAAGGATCACAAGGGGTGGCTGCTATGGGACTTGACCACCCAGAAGTTGACAGTGTCAAGGGATGTGAAGTTTCTTGAGTCCCTGTACTACAAGGAATGGAAGCAGCAGCAACAGAAGCTTCCATCTACACCGCTCATTGTGGAGGCAGATGAGGTGCAGCACCCTTCAAGACAGGTGGAGGTTGCAGTGTCAGAGGAGGAGATGTCTGGGGTGACTGAGGAAGGGGGAGCAGCTGAAGTAGAGCAGCAGCAGCAGCAGCATGAGTCTCCACCTCGAGTTCCACACCCGCCTGAGCGTCCTAGGAGGGATGTGCGCCCTCCAGTGAGGCTGACCTATGGGGGAAGAGGCAAGCCAAATGTGGTGCAGGCTGGGAGTGTGGTTGAGCAGATTGAGGAAGATGAGATCGCTCACTGCTACTGGGCACCAATCCCTGAGCCCAAGACTCGAGAGGAGGCTTTGAATGGACCAAATGGGGAGAAGTGGAAGGCGAGTGAGGATGAGGAGTTCGGGTCCCTAATTGAGAACGAGACATGGGACCTGTGTGACTTGCCTCCTGGAAAGAAGGCAATCACTTCCAAGATGATCTACAGGCACAAGTATGGACCTGAAGGGGAGCTGACCCGCTACAAGTCCAGGCTTGTGGCAAGGGGGTTTCAGCAGACAAAAGGGAAGGACTATGATGAGGTGTTTGCTCCTGTGGGGAAAGGAACAACACTGAGGGTGCTGTTAGCGATAGCTGCACTCCTGGGATGGAAGATACGGCAGATGGACATTGTGACTGCTTTTCTGAATGGGATCATTATGGAGGAGGTGTACATGAAGCAGCCAGAGGGGCTGGATGACGGGAGCGGCAGGGTCTGCAGGCTGAAGAAGGCCATCTATGGCCTTAAGCAGGCGCCTCGTGCATGGTATCACAAGTTGGAGGAGGCGCTGTTGGCTGGGGGTTTCAAGAAGAGTGAGTGTGACCCCAGCCTGTTCCTGCTGCAGGAGAAGGATGAAATCCTCATGCTCTTGGTGTATGTGGATGATATCCTTCTCTTTTCTGCATCAACTGCTTTGCTGGACAGCGCAGAGCAGATGCTGGAGATGCAGTTCAAGTGCTCCAAGATGGGTGAGGTGAAGTACTACTTGGGGATGCACGTGGAGAGAGATGTGGAAAAGGGTGTGCTGAGGTTGCACCAGAGGAAGTACTGTGAGGGGCTGGCTGAGAAGTATGGGCTGCAAGATGGGGGAAAGCCAGCAACACCACTACCTTCAGGGTTTACTGTGGAGCCATGTGCTGATGAGGAGGTAGTGGGTGATAGTGACAGGAAGCTGTTTCATTCGATGGTTGGGTCGCTGAATTATGCTGCAAATCATACACGGCCTGACATTGCATTTGCTACATCACGATTGGCTAGTGTGGTCTCACGCCCTAGTCATGAGCAGCTGGAAGCGGCCAAGAGGTTGGTCCGCTATGTGAGCGCTACGGCATCAGTGGGATTGGAGTACAGTGGAGTGAGGCAGCGGTTGCAGAGAGGTGCTGCAGATGTGAAGAGTGGAGAGATGCTCTTGAGTTGCTATACTGACGCTAGCTTCAACTCAGTGAAAGCGGATGGCACCAGCATTGGGGGTTATGTGTGCTTGCTAGGAGGTGGTGCTGTGAGCTGGCGCAGCAAGAAGCAGAATGAGGTGGGATTGTCCTCATGTGAGACTGAGTACATGGCCTTACACCATGGGGCCAAGGAAGTAGTGTGGCTAAGGCGTTTGTTGGAGGAGTTGGGAGTTGGTCAGGAGAAGCCGACAGTTGTGTTTTGTGACAATGAGTCCGCTGTGAAGCTCGCCAAGAATGCTTGTCTGCATGGGCTGACAAAACACATAAGGCCTAAGTGGCATTGGGTGAGGAGACTCCTTGATAAGGAGGTGCGGCTGGAGATAGTGAAGACCCATCAGCAGGCAGCAGATATTTTCACCAAGCGTCTGGCGGAGGCGGATCATTGGAAGGGCATGAAGCTTGCTGGGATGAGTGTGCATTGAGTATGCATGCTTGAGATGTTGGTATGGTGGATGATGGTTGGCAGCCAGAGGGGGAGATTGTTGTGTGATGTCATCATATGCTATCACATTCTGTCTGCCTCCCATCCCATATTTTTTCAACTTGCATGTGTGGTTTGAACGTGTGCAAGAATTTGTGTGTGATGTGTTCTGGAGTTTGGGAATGTGTTTTGTGTTATTTTGTTTGAGCAGGTTTTTTGTGATGATAGATCTTGAGAAGATCTTTCCGACGCAACGAGAATCCCTTCAATCGGAGCAAGAACGCGAAAGCTATGAAGATTCAAAGTTCATGAGCTTGCGTTACAATTGCGGCGGTTACAAAGTGAAGTTGTGGGGTGACTCTATATGGAGTTGGGACCTTTGGGGGTTTGGGAAATTTGTCACTCACTGTAACAGCTGCAAATTGGTTGGGAACAACCAAGCTAGGTTGGCAAGGGTGGCCAACTTGGATGGATTGGTTGGGAAGGGACAAATGTCAAAGTTGGGGTTCCTATAGGGAGGGAATCTTTGTGCTTATGGGGTTTCCTTGGTTGGGGACTCTCTTGGGACCTTCCCTCTCATCCCTCTCTTCCTATCCCAACCTTTCTCTTGCTCCTTCTAATTCCTTGTGAGATTCTTGAACTTTGATTGAACCTTTGAGATTGAGTTAAGTTCTCCTCCTACAGCTTACCCCCTAGTGCGTCGAAAGCCATAGCGTCGCGAATACTTTATCAATCAACATGATTCAAATTGGGAACGGTAGCTGAGATTAAGAGCTACAACATATCCAAGTTTCGCGACATTCCAACGGCTAGTTGTTTGTCGACGTCGTTTCTTGTGAAGACGACTTTTCTGTCCAGAATTTCGGATTTATATTTTGAGTAATTCTAGCTCCTAAGTTCACCTAGACTCCGTCCTTAATCCTAACAACAACTCATTGGAAGTCCTTGTCAGCTGCTAGACCAAAGTTGGAGAGCCCTATAACGAGGAGGGACCAGCATGTGTGGGACTCTTGTCCCCACCCTGCAGCTGCAGCATTTGGGGTTTGGAGGCCAACCTGGTACAGTGTGAATTTTGTCTTGCCAGGCTGGCTGAACCTGAGGATGGGGAGTCAAGACTTTGACTCTTGTCATGTTCTTGACCATGGGCCTCTAGGGTCCTTCCCTTTCATCCTTCCCTTCCATCCCTACCTTCCAATTGTGCTTCAATGCCTTTTCTATCATGCCTCTGAACTTGTAAGCTTTAATCATAGTGACTCTGAGGATTGTCAACTTCTCCTAGGGCAGATTAACCCCCAGTGCGCCAAACGCCATAGCTCGCTCGTTAAGCTACGGAATTAAGTGATTCAACTTTCAGAGGAAAGCTGACGCTGCAAGCTACAACATATCTGAGTTTCAGATCGTTTCACCGATTGGAGTTTTGGATATAGCTTTTCGAAGGTCGCGAGTTTTCTGGGCGTCATAACGAAGTGCTGCAGAAATTTCCAAGGAGCCATTGAATCATCTGCTTATAGCCTTCTCTAACCAACAGCTCCACTGTTCAAGGCACGATACGTGGCGAAGGGTTTCATCCAGAAGGAGTATCTTGACTTCTTCGAAACCTTCTCGCCCACAGCCAAGCTCCCGACTATGCGCGCTCTTCTTGATATAGCCGCTCGCATCATTGTACTCCTCTGGCTGCTCCATGAAGGTCTCTTCCTCCAAAACGCCGTTAAGGAAGGCCGTTACTATATCCATTTGGTTCACCACCCATCCTTTGATGGCCGCCGCGGCGAAGAGGGTTCGAAGGGTTGTACCCTTCACCACAGGGGCATACACTTCATTGTAGTCCTTCTTCTCTTGCTGCTGATACCCCTTGGCTACAAGTCTGCTCTTGTAGCGCTCGATGTTGCCGTCGGCGTCGGTCTTGCGCTTGTAGAGCCACTTGGAAGAGATCGCCTTCCGCCCCGGAGGTAGGTTCACCAAGTCAAATGTGTCGTTCTCTATGATGCTCCCCATTTCTTCATCTGAGGCCTTCTTCCACTCCTTCCCATTGGGGCCCTCCCAAGCCTTCTTGGGATTTGTAGGCTCCCCCGGCATCTCCACCGGAGTGAAGAAGGCAAAGGCACACTCCTCGCTTTCATCTTCCGCATCATCGCCTAGCATGAGAGCCGAACCGGTCAAGGTTGAGTTGGCTGGTCCTCCAAGCCGGTTATAGCTCAACCTTTTGGGGGGCTGAGTCTTCCTTCTCCCCCTTCCTTCCTCCTCTGCTGCAGGGACTTGAATGCTCTCATGGCGTTGCGGTAAATCTGGTCGGTTCCCACGAGCACTTGTAGGCAGAAGCGGAAGTGACGGTGCACGCTCATCATCTTGCTGCACCTCCTCCTCCTCCTCAGCCCCATTCATTTGAGGAGATTGCCTCGTGACTGTACTGCTGCTACTCAGCTCCAAGGGCAGCTCCACATGCTCCAAGCCAGTACTCTTCACCTCTCCAAGCCGCACACCAATCTTCGCTTGATTCTCCGCCTTCTACTCCTTGTACGGTAAGTTCTCCATGAACTTGCAATCTCTGCTCACCAAGAACTTCTTGGTAAATGGGTCCCAAAGAAGCCATCCCTTGCTGTTTTGAGCCATGCCCAGGTGCACGGCCCATGTTGCCTAGGCATCAAGCTTGTTGTGCCGAAGTTTCTTAGGCACAAGTGCCATGCACATGCACCCGAACACCCGAAGCATATCCACCTTCGGTTTTCTTCCAATCCACTCCACATAGGGCACCCATTTGTCTTCTCCCACGTGAGTCAAGGCTCTGTTCTTGGCCACACAAGCATGCCGCACCACATCCGGCCAAAAGTAATTGGGTAGACCGGCTTCAATGAGAAGTCCCCGAGCCGTCTCCGTGAGTGTCCGATTTGCACGCTCGGTGATGCCGTTCATAAAAGGAGAGTAGGGCATGGTAAGAGAGTGCCTTATGCCCTACTTCTTCAGCCAAGTTGAGAAATCCTTGCTCAGGAACTCTCCCCCACGGTAAGTGCGAATTGCCTTCACAAGCCGGTCTTGTTGCCGCTCCACCATCGGCAACCAATCGGTCTTCACCGTTTCAGCTACATCACCCTTCTTGGGCAGCACATACACCCAGGTCATGCGAGTGTAGACGTCCACAATGGTGAGGAAGTACTCAGCTCCAGCAGCTCCAAGCTTCAAGGGGCCCACCACATCCATCACCACCTCATCAAGTGGTGCCTTCGCCGTTGTCTCTGAGCTATGGAACGGGTAGCGGGTGAACTTGGCTTGCATGCATGTTGGACAGCCAAGCACCTCATTGGGCTCCTCCTTGACACGTATCCCACTGACCATCTCTTGCTTAACTATCTGCTGCAAAATGGGCAATGCCACATGCCCCATTCGCCGATGCAAGGTCAGCCAATCACACTCTCCCGTAGCGGAAGTCGGGTTGGAGAAAGCGGCACTCGCAATCGTGCCCCACAAGCTCTCTCCTTTCTCCTTCGCCGCTGCTGCTTTGCTGATCTTAGGATTCTCCTCCTCATTTCCACCACCTTTGGCTGTTGCACCACTCTCCTTGGGTTCACACGCCTTGCTGGTCTCTCCAAGGTTGCATTCCTTCGAGTCACTCTTGGTGTCACTTTGCTTTCCGTGATCACAGCCACCAACCGCTTCACTCTTGGTGCTGACGCTTGCTGCCACTTGCCTCCCCTTAGGCATGGGGACCACTGGGATTTGCCACATCTCATTGTAGATGTCCCTGTCCTCATGAAGGTCCCAAAGCTTCCGCTCACCAAGCCTCGCGGTATATGTTTTGGAACCCTTGGAAGATGTGTCCATGCCGGCCTTTTGCAAACGCCGAACGGAGATCAGGTTGGCTGCTAGGTTGGGCACCAAAAGCACGTTCTTGAGGCCCACCATCTTCCCATCAGCACCCTTGAACATGGCCTTGCCCATGCCCTTCACCTCTGCTCGCTGCCCTAAAGCCGATGTAACATGCTTTACCGGCGACGGTTCGAGTTCGGTGAGCAAGTCCGCACGAGGTGTCATGCTATAGGTGGCGCCGCTGTCGATCACCCAAAAGTCCAGAGAGTGAAGAGTGACCTTTCCCACAGTAGCTGGCTCCTCAAAGCCTTCCACAGCTTCCGTTGCTGCTGCCGCTTGCGTGGAGACAAATAAGAATTGGCCCGGGTATCGATCTTCACTCGGGCCCGTCTCGTAGTCTCCACCTTTCATGCTTGCCGCTTCGCTTCCACGACCACCACGGCCTCCACGACCTCTGCCTCTTCCTCCCCTTTCTCCTCTGCCCTCTTGGCCTTGAGAAGGGGTCCAACCATCAGGCAATTTGAAGCAATCTCTCCACATGTGGCCGGTCTTGTGGCAAAAGTGGCATGCGCCATCAAATCGACCGCGCCCACGCCCGTAGCCACTGTTGTTGTTGTTGCTGCCATATCCTCCATTACCACGGCCTCCATTGAAGTAGCTGCTGCAAAATCTGCCTCCTCGCCCTCTGCCTCTTCCACGGCCGTGCCCACGGCCCATGCTTGCAACTCCGGCACCATCGGGACCCGCCAATTCACGATGGCGGAAATCTTCTTGCAAGATTTCCCGCTTCACATCTTCGAGCGAGAGGCGGGGCAGATCTCGATTTAGGTTGATAATGAGCGAGGACCATGAGTCTGAAAGTAAGGCCAGCAGCTTGGTCTTCTTTTGAAGGTCACTGTAGTTCAGCTCAGCTCCTTCGAGCCATGTCAACAAGTCGAAGAATTTCTGCACTCCTTCCTCCTCGGGTTCGTCTTCGTCAATTCTAAGTGCCGCCATTTGCCGCTCCAAAACCACAGCCACCGCCGCTGTTGCAGGAGCGTGTACACCCTTGAGAGCAGCCCATGCCTTTGGTCCCTTTGCTGGTTCACGCTGAAAAGGCTTGATGTGACGGATTTGGCTGCTCCCCAACGGTTGCGCAACTAGAAAATAGCCTTGTGCGCTCTTCCGCACCCACGGGCTCTTCTCCGGGTCGTTCTCGGGGCGCTTCTCCGTTCCTTCCATCACCTCCAGCAGATCATAGTGGTCAACGATGTTCTCCGTTTTGCAGGACCACTCAGCAAAGTTATCACCGTTGAACTTGTCAAGGCCAAAAACTCTAGGCTCATCCCTAGAGGGGCCAAGGCTAGGTTGCACGAGAGCAATGGGTGGATCTTAGTGTTGGCCTTGTACTTGGGCGTGTTCTCTGCCTCTAGCACCTCTGCCAACTGCTTCCCCAGATCTAGGCATGGTCGAAATGGCTCCAAGGGGCTCTAATACCAATTGTTATAATTACAATAGGCTCAAATGTGCCTAAAATGAGAGAAATTCAGGACAGTCAGAATTCCGTCAGACAGCTTCACAACTTGATGGTGATCTGATCTGTATGTCAAACGGTGATCTTTAAATTGGATATCGAGCGCGTTGCTGTTCGCCTATCAGCAGCAAGTTGAATCATAAAATTCCATCAAGATTTGACAACGCTATAGCGGTTCGACTGGCAGGAGGTACAGCAGCCACTATAGTCTTAGGAGTACAAACTTAGCAAGAAGAGTTCGAGAGGGAGATGGTTCCCAGCCTCTACATACCCCAAGAGCCGAGGTCCAGGTTGGTGGTACACCACCACAGAGTCCCCAACCATGAAGAGTCTCGAAGCCAACCCTCCAAGG